AGCCTGACGTTTGGTAACTCGAACCTTCAGCTCCCTCCAAAGATTTTCTATGGGATTAAGGTCTGGAGACTGTCTAGGCCACTCCAGGACCTTAATGTGCTTCTTCTTGAGCCACTCGTTTGTTGCCTTGGCCGTGTGTTTTGGGTCATTGTCATGCTGGAATATCCATCCACGACCCATTTTCAATGCCCTGGCTGAGGGTAGGAGGTTCTCACCCAAGATTTGAAGTTCCCGTCCATCGTCCCTTTGATGCGGTGAAGTTGTCCTGTCCCCTTAGCAGAAAAACACCCCCAAAGCATAATGTTTCCACCTCCATGTTTGACGGTGGGGATGGTGTTCTTGGGGTCATAGGCAGCATTCCTCCTCCTCCAAACACGGCGAGTTGAGTTGATGCCAAAGAGCTCAATTTTGGTCTCATCTGACCACAACACTTTCACCCAGTTCTCCTCTGAATCATTCAGATGTTCATTGGCAAACTTCAGACGAGCATGTATATGTGCTTTCATGAGCTCTTGTCCCTGACATCCTTGGAGAGCTCTTTGGTCTTGGCCATGGTGGAGAGTTTGGAATCTGATTGATTGATTGCTTCTGTGGACAGGTGTTTTTTATACAGGTAACAAACTGAGATTAGGAGCACTCCCTTTAAGAGTGTGCTCCTAATCTCAGCTCGTTACCTGTATAAAAGACACCTGGGAACCAGAAATCTTTCTGATTGAGAGGGGGTCAAATACTTATTTTGGAGTTTGGAAATTGCTCCCAAGGATGAACCAGACTTGTGGAGGTCTTGGCTGATTTCTTTTGATTTTCACATGATGTCAAGCAAAGAGGCACTGAGTTTGAAGGTAAGCCTTGAAATACATCCACAGGTTCACCTCCAATTGACTCAAATTATGTCAATTAGCCTATCAGAATCTTCTAAAGCCATGACATCATTTTCTGGAATTTTCCAAGCTGTTTAAAGGCACAGTCAACTTAGTGTATGTAAACTTCTGACCCACTGGAATTGTGATACAGTGAATTATAAGTGAAATAATCTGTCTGTAAACAATTGTTGTAAAAATTACTTGTGTCATGCACAAAGTAGATGTCCTAACCGACTTGCCAAAACTATAGTTTGTTAACAAGAAATGTATGGAGTGGTTGAAAAACGTCCGACTTCAACTGTACAAAAGTATGTGGGCACCCCTTCAAATTAGTGGATTTGGCTATTTCAGCCACACCCTTACTGACAGGTGTATAAAATCGAGCATACAGCCATGGAATCTCCATAGACAAACATTGGCAGTAGAATGGCCTTACTGAAGAGCTCAGTGACGTTCAGTCAGTTCATCAAATTTCTGCCCTGCTAGGCGGATGCCAGGAGAACGCTACGTGCCCCAATGCATAGCACCAACTGTAAAGTTTGGTTGTGGAGGAATAATGGTCTGGGGCTGTTATTCATGGTTCAGGCTCCTTAGTTCCAGTGAAGGGAAATCTTAACGTTACAGCATACAATGACATTCTAGACGATTCTGTGCTTCCAACTTCGTAGCAACAGTTTGGGGAAGGCCCTTTCCTGTTTCAGCATGACAATGCCTCTGTGCACAAAGTGAGGTCCAAACAGAAATATTTTGTCGAGATCGGTGTGGAAGAACTTGACTGGCCTGAACAGTGCCCTGACCTCAACGCCATCAAACACCTTTGGGATGAATTGGAACGCTGACTGCGAGCCAGGCCTAATCGCCCAACATCAGTGCCCGACCTCACTAATGCTCTTGTGGCTGAATGGAAGCAAGTCCCCGCAGCAATGTTCCAACATCTAGTGGAAAGTATTCCCAGAAGAGTGGAGTCTGTTATAGCAGCAAAGGGGTGACCAACTCCATATTAATGCCCATGATTTTGGAATGAGATGTTGTAGAGCAGATGTCCACATACCTTTGGTTATGTAGTGTAGGATATATTGCCAGCGCCAGCATTTGCAGTATGACATGTTGGCACTGGCAAGATATCATATGTATAATGGACACTGTCCATTAGCAATACATTACAATGGACATTCACCATCACGAATTGGACATTACATTTACATTTACGTCATTTAGCAGACACTCTTATCCAGAGCGACTTACAAATTGGTGCATTCAACTTATGATAGCCAGTGGGACAACCACTTTTTTGTTTTTTAGGGGGGGGGGGGGGGGGGGGTAGAAGGATTACTTTTATACTATTCCAGATATTCCTTAAAGAGGTAGGGTTTCAAGTGTCTCCGGAAGGTGGTCAGTGACTCCGCTGTCCTGGCGTCGTGGGGGAGCTTGTTCCACCATTGGGGTGCCAGAGCAGCAAATAGCTTTGACTGGGCTGAGTGGGAACTGTGCTTCCGTAGAGGTAGGGGGGCTAGCAGGCCAGAGGTAGATGAACGTACTGCAATCGTTTGGGTGTAGGGTCTGATCAGAGCCTGAAGTTAAGGAGGTGCCGTTCCCCTCACAGTTCCGTAGGCAAGCACCATGGTCTTGTAGTAGATGTGAGCCTCAACTGGAAGCCAGTGGAGTGTGCGGAGGAGCGGGGTGACATGAGAGAACTTGGGAAGGTTGAACACCAGACGGTCTGCAGCGTTCTGGATAAGTTGTAGGGGTTTAATGACACAAGCAGGGAGCCCAGCCAACAGCGAGTTGCAGTAATCCAGATGGGAGATGACAAGTGCCTGGCTTAGGACCTGTGCCGCTTTCTGTGTAAGGTAGGGTCGTACTCTGCGAATGTTGTAGAGCATGAACCTGCAGGATCGGGTCACCGCTTTGATGTTAGCGGAGAACGACAGGGTGTTATCCAGGTTCACGCCAAGGTTCTTTGCACTCTGGGAGGAGGACACAATGGAGTTGCCAACCGTGATGGCGAGATCATGGAGCGGGCAGCAAGCAAACCTGCGCTCATTAAATTATTTGTATTATGTTCTCCCTTAAACTGCAAAGGACTTTTATTTGTATCGTTTTGAACAGAAATTGGACCACTTTCTTTTCTTTTCACATTCCATATTTGACTACTTAACACTTACTAGAATTAAGGTTTTTTGTGTGTAATTGTTTTTTTAATGGGTTTATGTTATGTAAGTGGACTTGAGAAAGAAGCAATTAACCTTTTGAAGTAGTTGAAGGATCTGATTTGCACTCTGTCGTGAGAAGAAACTAATATAGAAACTCTTAATTTTTATGTACTGAACGTGTGAACAGCTTACATTGTCTGTCTGTATAATGCATTTCATTATTGTATATTCTGAAAAAAGGTTACATATAATATTTGAACATATATTGCCACTTCAACACTAAGTAACGATAGTATATTCTGCACAGGCGTGTAGCTTTATGGAGTTTTAAATGCATACAGATGTATGTGAGTGTATGTGTGTGATCTAATGATCTAAATAAGAATTTTAATCCCCCTTGGCCTATACTGGCTCTCCAGTCAACCCCAGTAGATGTTAATCCTCCTTTGATGGCTCCGTGTGTTTTAATCTAGGTGACCTTCTGTTGTGCCGTGTACAGTGCTTGTGTGTGAGACTGTGTATGTGCAGGGGGATCGAAGGCTGACTTCAGACCCGTACGTTTCTATTTACTCATCACCCTCCTTGTGCTGAGGTCCGTGTATGCCAGGTGTTGTGGTGTTCTAGGTCACCATAGTTTTGTGTGTACAGAAGAAGGATCGTAAAAAAAAAAAAAAGTGGATATCCTGCGCGTCCTCCTCTACGGTCCTGTCCCGTTTTGGTTCAGTCAGTGCGATTGGCTCTGAGAACAATTGGAGGACAGGGCCGTTCTCCTTTGGTGTCCTAATGTCAACTTGTTTAGATCAGTAACACTCCTGTAGGTTATGTATTTCGATGGTTATTATGAATAATTAGATCTCAGTACTACAGCATACAGTTCTTTGTCAAGAATGGTCTGAAATAAAAGCCTGTATTTACCTTGATGTATTCCCGATGTGCTTTGAGCTGTGTGTGTAAAGTGTCATCCTAAGCGCTGAACATTCCTTTTCTATTACATTAACAATAAAACATTTGTCATAAAGACCATGCTGAAAGATAAATATAATGCAGACTAAATAAAAAATTATATCCTGTAGATAAAATCTTGGGTCCTGTATGACTGGAAGCTGTTAGGCACAGTCCAATTATTTTATCCTTCAAAGAATAATTTATGTTTTCACATGATCACATTTAAGTCAATATATAAACAATCAATTTGTATTTTTTCTTCAATCAGTTGAATAGTTCATGTGCACCTACTTAATCAAGGTCATGCCTACAGTAAAATTAAATACATTCAGAGTATGTAATGTATAGTCCTCTTTATTCAGAAATTACCTAATGATCACTAATACAAATGTGCTACACTAGATTTCTACCCTGTAACAATTCATTTTCTTCTTTCTACCCTGTCAAAAAGTATTTCATTAGTATCAGGGTTTGTGATGCAGTCTGTCAGTCATGCTAGTGAGGGAGAGCATGGACCCTTTTCTCCACTTCATTGCAATACTTCTCTGGAAGTCCAGCAGCCCTACAAGTAAAATTAACAAACATTAATTACAAAACTAAACCTGACCATCCTGACTATCCTCTGTTCCCCTCAATTATACATACCACCTTGTCCCTGTACATAGTTAGTCCCTACCCAGTCCCTGTACATAGTTAGTCCCTACCCAGTCCCTGTACATAGTTAGTCCCCACCCAGTCCCTGTACATAGAGTTAGTCCCTACCCAGTCCCTGTTCATAGACTTAGTCCCCACCCAGTCCCTGTAAATAGTTAGTCCCCACCCAGTCCCTGTAAATAGTTAGTCCCTACTCAGTCCCTGTACATAGTTAGTCCCTACCCAGTCCCTGTACATAGTTTGTCCCTACCCAGTCCCTGTACATAGTTAGTCCCCACCCAGTCCCTGTAAATAGAGTTAGTCCCTACCCAGTCCCTGTACAGAGTTAGTCCCCACCCAGTCCCTGTAAATAGAGTTAGTCCCCACCCAGTCCCTGTACTTACTTGAGCTCCCTGAGCTTCTTCTCCTTGATCTCGTCAAGGCGGATGCGACGATGGCGGGCCTCCTTGTCCAGCCGGTCTCCCTCTTTGTAGACCTCCCTGCGCAGGGCGATGGCCTGCATCTCCCGCTCCCTTACCTGCTGGCGCACCCCGTCCGCGTGACGCAACATCTTGATCCTGTGTTTCTCCTCCTTGTCCTTCTCCTTACAGATGGATGCCTGCTGGGCCCTGGGGTGAGAAAAAAATACTGTAAAACTCTACTGCTAATACAGAGGCCTTTGCTAACACTTTAAAACCTGGTTGTCCAAGACATCGCATAGTGTTATGCTTTGATTTATGAAACCGCCCAACTGTAATACAAGTGTGTGATCGAGTTAGTACAGTAGTAACTACCCACTGGGCACAGACGTCAATTCAATGTCTATTCCACGTTGGTTCAACATAATTTCATTGAAATGACGTGGAAACAACGTTGATTCAACCAGTGTGTGCTCACTGGGTACATTTACATTGTGTCATGGTGCACCTCAACACCCTCTCAAACTCAGCCCTCTCTCGCCCAGCCTCGATGGACAGGAGGTGCTCCTTGTGTGTGACCTGCTCCAAGCGAGCTGCCTTCAACCTCTCCTCAACATCCACCTTCTTCTTGAGGTGCTCCTTCTCTTTTCTCCTCCAATCCCTCGCCGCTCCCTCCTGGTTCCTCCTGGCTCGAAGCTCATCCTGACAAAGTCATACACAAAACCACTGTAACCATTCCTCCATTCCTTTTATGATCAATTACGACAACAACAGGTCAGTGTGAGCCACTGTAAAACAAATGGAACTTTGGTGCTGCTCACCTGCTCTGCCTTGTGGTCTTTGTCTCTCTCCTGTAGGGCTCGCAGTCTGGCCACCTCCTTCTCCTTCTCACTCTTGATGCGTCTCTGTTCAGCCTCGTACTCAGCCTCCCGCTCCTGTAGGGGTCACACAAAAGTATATTTGGCTGCTTTAACACAGGCAGCCCAATTCTGATATTTTACTCAATTATTGGCAAAAGAGCTGATCTGATTGGTCAAAAGACCAATTTGTGGAAAAAGATCAGACTTAGGCTGCCTGTGTAAACACAGCCTTAGACAACTGTTTTGCCCTTCTGCTTTCTTACCAAAACAAGAAGGCCAAAGACCAATAATTAAGAAGTTCATAATGGAGTACCTCTTACCATTTTCTTGTGGGTGTACTCCATGGCCCTGAGGTCGGCCAGTCTCTCCTCCTCTTTCTTGCGCTCCTTGGCCAGCAGGCTTTCATCGTTGATACGAAGGATCTCCTGCTGCAGACGCTGCTGCTCCTCCTTCTTCCTCTCCAGAGCCTGGGACACACACACACCATTCTGACGTTTATTATTCGTTCTGCCTACAGTAACTGCATTACGATTAATTCATGAATGATATTCATGAGTTGCAAGAGCACAAACAGATTTTGGACCAGGCTAATTCATGAGGAATTTCTAACTGAAATTCAAAGTGGAAATACATTAGCCTTGCTATAAGAATGTTGTACTGTACAAGGAGACTTGTCTCTAACTAATAATACCTCCAGCTCCTCCATCTGCATCCTCTCCAGGTTCTCCAGCATCTGCTGGCCCTCCTGCTCCTTCATCTCATTCTGCAGCATCCTGTCCTCCAGACGCTCCTCAATCTGGTTTATAATCAGCTGCTTTCCCCTATAGACACACACAGGGAAGACAGCTGAGGCGATGTAGTGTATTTGACTTTAAATGGACCATTGTGTGGGTGTGTATGTGTGTGTGAGCATGTGTGCCCCTCACTGGATCCTCTGGTGTTTGCGCAGCTCGTCGACCTGCTCCTGGGCTTCCAGGGCTCTCCTGCGGTCCACCTCCATCATGGCATCCAGTCGCCTCTCCTCCTCCTGCAGCTCAGCCAGGATCTGCTGCCTCTCTATGATCTGGGCATCCCTCACCGCGTGGCACTGGGCACCCAGGATCAACTGGCCACAACAATAAGGTACCATACACGACACACACAATGACACAGAGATGGAAGAGTCTGGACTGGGCATGGGTAGAATAACTTGGGAAATGTGTGATATTGCAGTGATATTGGGACTGAAGCTGAGATAAAACGAATAACAAAGAGTAGCAAAGTAAAGAGAAAGAGTGAGCAATGAGAGAGTGACCGGTTGATTCTCTTGCTGTACCTCATTGAGTTTCTTGACCTCGTCCTCCTGCTCCATCCTCATGGCGTTGGCCCTCTCCAGCAGGTACTGAGCTCTTTCCTTGGCCTCGGCCTCCAGCTCACTTAGGTCCTGGTTCTTCTGACGAGACAGGTCAGCCTGGCGGATATGGGCCTTCCGATCCTCAGCAGCATCCTTGTCAGAAAAAACAGCAACATTAGAACAGTGCAGAGGTTAGTTTGGTTTATTGCTGTTACATCTCCACAAGGGTGTAGTGCTGTAGCTGGGACCCTGTACTGCCAGTTAGTCACCCAGATTTCATGTGGAAAGTTGCTTACAAATTCATCAGGTGCATTCGTCCTTTCTCACCATAGCTGCTTCTCTCTCCCTCCTCTGGGCTTCCAGCGTGGCCTCCAGCTCCTCCTTGGTTGAAACCCGAGAAGCTCTTCTGATCCGCTCGATCTCAGTTGGGCGGAGGATGACAGACAGCCCAGACGGATCCTTTCTTGGGATCCTGGCAAAATGACAGCTTTGTTTTGTTGTTTTTTGTAATTCACCACCACTTGTAAAATGTGATTGTGGGATATGTTTATTGGTGCAATGTAGGTTTATGGAACTGGATGGCATTCTCTTTTATAATAAGTAAACCGTAATAAACAATGCTAAGTGTAGTACTGGTATGTTCACAAAGCATTAGACTTGATGATCACATTGTAACCGAATGAGAAATTGAGGTATTGACTGATACTTGCTTCAGGTCTCGGATGAGGTCCTTTGTGATGATGCGAACTGTCTCTGGTTTCTGAGTCTTCTGACTTGGAGCAGACATGGACTGGCCCCTGGGTCCGGACCTGCCACCCCTCTCAGTGTCCTTGACATCGCAGGCTGACAGCGCCTTGAGTGAGAATATCCAATATACATTTACACCAATTCTCTCTCTCTCCCCCTCTCTCTCACAAACACACATACACACAGACCTTGCACAGTTGAATTGTCACAGGTTACTTACTGCTATGTGTTTTATTAAATGCTGATCAAAGAAATGGCTGACATATGCAGGCCCACCTGTTTTGGGGTTCCAAAGAGGCTCTCATCCACATGAGAGGTGAGGGCACGGGTGCGATAGCGACGTGAACGGGAGCTACCTGAGAGCCTAGATGAAGACCCTACACTTTGTGGCTGCGAGAAAGTCAACAGTGTTACATTTGTACATTTTAGTCATTTAGCAGACGCTCTTATAGTCTTGGTACTGGTAGTTATACAGTCATTGAAAGTGTGTACAGACCAGCAAATAATTGCTAGCTACATGTAGCTGCATAGGACTGGCATGTATGTAATTGCTATGTCATGTAAGATTGTGGGCCTGTCTCTGATTCCACTTACCATGATGATCGTCAAAAATTGTCCACTCTCATCAACTGAAAGAAATAACAGCTATAATATTGACAGGAATGTCACCATTATAATAACACAACGAATGTCCACGGTTGTGAAGCACCTAGTTAGCTATTTTCGATCTTTATTATGGGAGAACTGCTTGGCATGTCCCTGAAAATTAGATGTGTTTTGTTGTTGTGTATCCATGGAAACCGCCATCTTCAAATGGGAAAGAGTCCACGTGGCCTCTGTGCCTGCCTTTTTACACAGCCAGATTAATCATCTCATGTCTTGGATACTTTGTATCAAGGTGAATCAGAGGTGCTTTGATACAATGTGATATAATATTTGGGTTCAGTGCATGCATGAAGCATGCGCGATATTATACAGTATGTGCAATGCATGTTGTTGTATGGTGGAGGTGGTGCATCACACATTGTGCTCACTAGATGGCGCCAAAGTACCTAATCTCTGCAAATTAGAAAACCCAGCAACGATGTAACACACCGTCATTATGACAAATCATATTTCATTGCATTTTCGATAGAAAGTTAATGTATGTGGTTGCGTGGTCATTGACTTGAATATCGGGTTTGGTGTACAGCAGGGTTCTTCAATTCCGGTCCTGGAGGGCCGAAACACTTCTGTTTTTTATTTCTACCTGGTAGTTAATTGCACTCACCTGGTGTCCCAGGTCTGAATTAGCCCCTGATTAGAAGGAGAGGATGAAAAACAGAGGTGTTTCGGCCCTCCAGGACTGGAATTGAAGAACCCTGGTGTACAGAGATGGAAAGAAATAGCCCACTGGGCACAGACGTCAGTCAATTCAACGTATATTCCACGTTGGTTCAACGTAATTTCATTGAAATGACGTGCAAACAACGTTGATTCAACCAGTGTGTGCCCAGTGGGAGGCAGTTTATGTTACAGTTTTTCTCAATTGCTAAAACACCATTTCTGAAACCTTGCTCCATTTCCTGAAAACATTAAACACAAAACCTCATCTTCAAGCACTATTTACAAAACCTCTGACTCCTCTCGCAAAATGAAACATTCGCCTCAAAACAGTTCTATATCGTGGAGCTCCGCCCCATAGGGGAGCTCTGCTCCTAATGGTTTACCCTCTGCCCTAAGGCAGCAGCAGCCTGAGACAAAATTATGCACACACCTACAGCCAATAGGAGTACAGGTGTCCGTCTCGCTTCCGCATTGTCTCCGTGCTGCTGTGCTGTTTGTTGCTACTTGGCTACCTGCCAAACTATTCACGTTTTACTTTTAATAAACGTTTAATCAATCTCTGTGTTCAACAAATTTACCAACTTTTTAGTTTTGTCCTCACTCATCTTTTTTCGTTAAACTTTTTCACCCCGGACGTTTTATCCCGAGACAGAAGAGTCATTTTCCTGTGCGTTTTAGCTGCCAACTTTACTTTATTTTCCTTTTTTCCATCGCAACTTTTTTCCCTTATTCAACTTTTTCACTCCGGACGCTTTATCTGGACATGGTTCGTCAACATCTTCAACAGCCGAAGCTAAGTAGTAACATTAACATGATGTCTTCTAATTGCAGTCGCTGTACTCATAATATACAGGAGAACGATCGCCTTACGGCGAGAATAGCTGTGCTACAAGCCCAGCTTCAGACGCAATCGTTAGGCAAGGGTAATTTCAGTGTAGGAAAGGAAGAAACAGCGTCTGTGCCACCAGTAAGTACAGACAGTAACGTTAGTATAAATCCCCCCGCACAGTCCCCGCAGCCGGACAACTTTCTCATGGCTTCTGGAGGGAAATACTGTTGGAATGCTCAACCGGTGTCGCTCATTCAGCCGACAGAAACCTTCAACCGGTTTTCCCCATTATGTAGCGAGTCGGAGTCTGAGTCTGAGTCTTCTCTTGTCTCTACTCCTCCCGTTACGGGGTCTGAGACGCCGAAGGCTCCCACCATTAGCTCTGACAAATTGAAAACCCTAGTCATTGGCGACTCCATTACCCGCAGTATTAGACTTAAAACGAATCACCCAGCGATCATACACTGTTTACCAGGGGGCAGGGCTACCGACGTTAAGGCTAATCTAAAGATGGTGCTGGCTAAAGCTAAAACTGGCGAGTGTAGAGAGTATAGAGATATTGTTATCCACGTCGGCACCAACGATGTTAGGATGAAACAGTCAGAGGTCACCAAGTGCAACATAGCTTCAGCGTGTAAATCAGCTAGAAAGATGTGTCGGCATCGAGTAATTGTCTCTGGCCCCCTCCCAGTTAGGGGAAGTGACGAGCTCTACAGCAGAGTCTCAGCACTCAATCGCTGGTTGAAAACTGTTTTCTGCCCCTCCCAAAAGATAACATTTGTGGATAATTGGCCCTCTTTCTGGGACTCACCCACAAACAGGACCAAGCCTGACCTGCTGAGGAGTGACGGACTCCATCCTAGCTGGAGGGGTGCTCTCCTCTTATCTACCAACATAGATAGGGCTCTAACTCCTCTAGCCCCACAGTGAAATAGGGTGCAGGCCAGGCAGCAGGCTGTTAGCCAACCTGCCAGCTTAGTGGAGTCTGCCAATAGCATAGTCAGTGTAGTCAGCTCAGCCATACCCATTGAGACTGTGTCTGTGCCTCGACCTAGGTTGGGCAAAACTAAACATGGCGGTGTTCACCCTAGCAATCTTATTAGGATAAAGACCTCCTCCATTCCTGCCATTATTGAAAGAGATCGTGATACCTCACATCTCAAAATAGGGTTACTTAATGTTAGATCCCTCACTTCAAAGGCAGTCATAGTCAATGAACTAATCACTGATCATAATCTTGATGTGATTGGCCTGACTGAAACATGGCTTAAGCCTGATGAATTTGCTGTGTTAAATGAGGCCTCACCTCCTGGTTACACTAGTGACCATATTCCCCGTGCATCCCGCAAAGGCGGAGGTGTTGCTAACATTTACGATAGCAAATTTCAATTTACAAAAAAAAAAATGGCGTTTTCATCTTTTGAGCTTCTAGTCATGAAATCTATGCAGCCTACTCAATCACTTTTTATAGCTACTGTTTACAGGCCTCCTGGGCCATATACAGCGTTCCTCTCTGAGTTTCCTGAATTCCTATCAGACCTTGTAGTCATAGCAGATCATATTCTAATTTTTGGTGATTTTAATATTCACATGGAGAAGTCCACAGACCCACTCCAAAAGTCTTTCGGAGCCATCATCGACTCAGTGGGTTTTGTCCAACATGTCTCTGGACCTACTCACTGCCACAGTCATACTCTGGACCTAGTTTTGTCCCATGGAATAAATGTTGTAGATCTTAATGTTTTTCCACAAAATCCTGGACTATCAGACCACCATTTTATTACGTTTGCAATCGCAACAAATAATCTGCTCAGACCCCAACCAAGGAGCATCAAAAGTCGTGCTATAAATTCTCAGACAACACAAAAATTCCTTGATGCCCTTCCAGACTCCTTCTGCCTACCCAAGGACGTCAGAGGACAAAAATCAGTTAACCACTTAACTGAGGAACTCAATTTAACCTTGCGCAATACCCTAGATGCAGTTGCACCCCTAAAAACGAAAAACATTTGTCATAAGAAACTAGCTCCCTGGTATACAGAAAATACCCGAGCTTTGAAGCAAGCTTCCAGGAAATTGGAACGGAAATGGCGCCACACCAAACTGGAAGTCTTCCGACTAGCTTGGAAAGACAGTACCGTGCAGTACCGAAGAGCCCTCACTGCTGCTCGATCATCCTACTTTTCCAACTTAATCGAGGAAAATAAGAATAATCCAAAATTTCTTTTTGATACTGTTGCATAGCTAACTAAAAAGCAGCATTCCCCAAGAGAGGATGGCTTTCACTTCAGCAGTAATAAATTCATGAACTTCTTTGAGGAAAAGATCATGACCATTAGAAAGCAAATTACGGACTCCTCTTTGAATCTGCGTATTCCTCCAGGGCTTAGCTGTCCTGGATCTGCACAGCTCTGCGAGGGCCTGGGATCGGGAGAGACACTTAAGTGTTTTAGTACTATATCTCTTGACACAATGATGAAAATAATCATGGCCTCTAAACCTTCAAGCTGCATACTGGATCCTATTCCTACTAAACTGCTGAAGGAGCTGCTTCCTGTGCTTGGCCCTCCTATGTTGAACATAATAAACAGCTCTCTATCCACCGGATGTGTACCAAACTCACTAAAAGTGGCAGTGATAAAGCCAAACCTTGACCCGGAAAATATAAAAAACTATCGGCCTATATCGAATCTTCCATTCCTCTCAAAAATTTTAGAAAAAGCTGTTGCGCAGCAACTCACTGCCTTTCTGAAGACAAACAATGTATACGAAATGCTTCAGTCTGGTTTTAGACCCCATCATAGCACTGAGACTGCACTTGTGAAGGTGGTAAATGACCTTTTAATGGCGTCAGACCGAGGCTCTGCATCTGTCCTCGTGCTACTAGACCTTAGTGCTGCCTTTGACACCATCGATCACCACATTCTTTTGGAGAGACTGGAAACCCAAATTGGTCTACACGGACAAGTTCTGGCCTGGTTTAGATCTTACCTGTCGGAAAGATATCAGTTTGTCTCTGTGAATGGTCTGTCCTCCGACAAATCAACTGTACATTTCGGTGTTCCTCAAGGTTCCGTTTTAGGACCACTATTGTTTTCACTATATATTTTACCTCTTGGGGATGTTATTCGAAAACATAATGTTAACTTTCACTGCTATGCGGATGACACACAGCTGTACATTTCAATGAAACATGGTGAAGCCCCAAAATTGCCCTCGCTAGAAGCCTGTGTTTCAGACATAAGGAAGTGGATGGCTGAAAACTTTTTACTTTTAAACTCGGACAAAACAGAGATGCTTGTTCTAGGTCCCAAGAAACAAAGAGATCTTCTGTTAAATCTGACAATTCATCTTGATGGTTGTAAAGTCGTCTCAAATAAAACTGTGAAGGACCTCGGCGTTACTCTTGACCCTGATCTCTCTTTTGACGAACATATCAAGACTGTTTCAAGGACAGCTTTTTTCCATCTACGT